TATTTTTTGGTGAAAATTCTATCACATTGAGTATGTAGCGTTACGTGGTTGGTTATCTGTGCGGATTGTTTGGAGTGAAAATTAGAAAAAAAATTGGTTTTTCGATGAGCAAAAAACGCACTGCGGAGTTTGCAGAGTAATTCTCGTATTTCATTAATGAACGTCTTTATCGGTTTCATTTATCGAAATCTTCTAAACGGACGTTTTATACGTGAGATGTTTGCTTACTTCACGATTGGTTTTTTTTTTTGTTGCCCTAAGTCAGCGTTCACTATCAATGACTGTATGAAAATCCATCTTCGTCCGCTTTCAATTGATTTTTTTGCCTTGATTGAATGAATACAAAGTGTTGACATTCCGAGAAAATTAATGAAAAACGACACTGCAACAGTAAAATGTTATTACTGAGATCTTACTGAGACCGATCGATCCCGTTGTCTCCCTCTGTGATGCATTATTTGTGTGGACAATGGACAATTTTTAGAGCTGCGTCACGAGGCTATTCATTCGGCTGTTGAATGTGGTCACATTTCTGAAGTTATCCATATTACGAGACGGTAATTGGTGAGCATGATTTAGAAAAATATTTGCGAAGTTTGCAGCAACAGTGAATCGTAATGAATGCAATAAGTTTATGAAATTATGTCCCCGAAAGGCAATCCTTTTCATCTCTGATTGCTATTTGAGCTAGTCTATAACGCCGCCGCCATTTGAGACCTGCAAATGTACATTATTCCCTGAGGAACATCACTCCCTGGAAATCAGCTCACAAAAAACTACCTCTCATTTTTCTTGCCTCACATCTGGTTCATAGGTTCCATGCTTCTTTTCCTATTGAATTAGTCCTATTGTTAATGGCTGCCTTAAGTTAGTCGAAGCATCGTTTCAGTATAGTTACGAACTTTTTCCCAGTATTCTAGTAATAGTTCCTGTTACTTTTGTGTACTGCTCGAATTGATCTGTTCTGATGCAGTATGTTTAGCCTATTTTCTTGAGATTATTTCTATGAGCTGCTGAACACATTGCCATGCTGAAAGTTATTTTCATGTCTACAAAAAATTCCATCCCACGACAGTGCTTTGCTTGGGCCATCATGGTCGGTCCGCTAGGTTTCGTGAATCACGCGACCATCACCGATTTAGTTCTGAGAATGTTCGCTCCTACTAAGCGAACATTCATTGTATTGACATTCGGAGAATTGTCATGTGCACGTTCTCATTTCTGAGGAGTGTGAATGTTAGTATAGGTCGTGAAATACATACCAAGAACCCGCAACTGTATTGAACGGTTCTCCATCTTTAACGATCGTTGGTATCTTCTTTTGTGTATCGCGAGTGCAGGTTTCGTTGTGTTTTTGTGAACTCATTATTCGTCTCATTTCATCATTGTGTTAGACAGACTGTTTAGAATTAGGATTTGTTAGCATCGGCTTCATGATGAGAAGCATTCTTGTTTGATTCGTGGAGGCTCGCGTGTATGTTATCATGTCGTGTGAGGAATTATGCAATATTTCGGAAATGGCGATGTTCTTCAGATGATTTATCGGAAGTGTTTTGTATTTGCAGCATAATGACGGGATTTGACGGTGACGTATTGCACATGTTAATTGGATTGCATTTGTGTGGTCAGCTTAATTAGTTGATTGACGAGTTACGGGCGGTGCTTGCATGATCTGAAGGTGTAATCAAGGAGGAATGACTGGCTGATTGACAACGTGCATCATGCAGCAGTTCGTAAGATCAGCGTCGTCGTTGTTCACTTCGCAGGCACTGCCCTACATTCAAATCAGTGATAACAGCCCCACTTTAGCCGTCGATGAGAATGCGCCGAGTGATGACATCGATTCACATCGTGCAGTGCCGTCCCCTGGTCGGCTATCTGATTCCCTTCTTTCACAAGACCAGCAACACTCTGATGCTGTGCCGAGAAGGCAGCGACGGTACATTTTCGTGCATTCATTCTGATGAATATTCGTTGCATGGCGATCAAACTTCATCAAACAATCGTGCAAATTGCTTTTACACTTAAAATATTCAACGAGTTGTGTTTCTGAGTCTT